CTGTATGTAATACATAGATTCAAATAGATTTGTCAAGGCTGTTTTATAAGGAACATGTCTTGAATTGAACAGCTTCAATGGGTAGTTTGTCATTTGGAAAAGCACAATCAGTTTTATCTTTCTGTGGCAGCAATGCACAAGGTGGAGGAGTGACATTATTGGTAACTCCAGCAACATCAGTGCAATTCCATTGAAGCTTCTTCTTCTTCAGTGCACTCACTTCGATAGTCACATTAGAAATGCAGATTCCAGTAAAAGGGTCGTTGGAGATTCCTTCAAGTTTTGCAGAATATGTAACATTCTTGGCAACAACATCTTTGAAATTTATTCCGGTAATGGTAGGAAGTGCTTTGGGGTCATAGTGAGAGTCAGGGTGTTGTCCATAAGAACCAGTCATCCAAAATACATATTTCATGGTATTCAGATTCAATCCTCTCACAAATATGTTCTTCACAAATCCACCTCTACCAACTGCTGTTTTGATTCTAACAGCTGATTCTGTGTTGATGGCAGTGAGATCTTCAACTCTAACATCTTCAATTCCACCAGACATTTCACTGCCTAGTGCAACCATGGCACTGTCTGGGGATATACAAGTCACTCTTCTAATCACTAAGTGTTGGGTTGGCCTTCCAAATTTAATACCATACTCATCCCACCCGCTTTTTGCCGAAATGCAATCATCACCAGAAACAATGTAGCAGTCTTCAATCCTAGTGTTTGTGCACGAATCTGTGGAGAACACAAAACTTAACAACATTTCATAGTGCTTGTTACCTAATCAAAGTTTTGCAACATGAATGCCCTTATTTTCACTACATATACAACATACGAAACTGACACATTCCTTAGATGTTGTGTTTCTGTGTCTTTGTCATAGTATAGAACAGAAAAGAAACAATTATATATACCTGGGTTTATGCCATCTGTGTTAGGAGAATCCACTGGGGCAAGAATGGTAAGCCCTTTTACGATTATGTTACTGAAGATGTAAAGCTTGATCAGAATAGTGATGCAGACTATACATGAAGGAAAAAGAATAAGCAGTTTTAAGAAATTTGGTGAGAAAAAAATGAGAATCTTATCAAACCTGCTGTAAATTGGATGGACAAACCAAGTTGGGGAATTGACCAAAGTGAGATCTGATATTTGGATTTGATCAGAGTACATGATCTCAATCATGTAGGGCCTTGTGAGAGTCAACTGATTCTTGTGTAACTTGTCCCACCAATAAGATCCTTGTCCATCAATTGTACCATTTTGACCTAATTACCAATTTTAAAGAAATCCAATTCAGAAATGACTTAGCCAGTAATTTCAGAAGAACTTAACAATCTTTAAATAATAGAATATTGTTTGTGTAAATGATTACCAGTAATTACAACATCAGTGAGATTAGTCCCAAAAATTAGACTGCTAAATCTTCCACCAGGAGCATCTCTTCCTCTTCCATAAGAAGGTAGCACAGCAAGATGAGGCCATTCTAATTCGTTCTGTTAATGTGATGAATGTAAGTGACAATTTTGCCAATTTTTTTTTAAAATAAGAAAAATCTAAAATAAATAAATAAATAATTTAAAAGAAATTTTAAAAAATCATAAATTAACACGTGCGTGACACACTCTTTATCTATCATTAACTATTTAGACCTTGATTTAACATAAATTATGAAAATTGAAATCATCTGCACTGAAAAAAAAAGTAAATAAGTCTTGAATAAAGTCAATAAAAATTAAAGTGGTATTAAGTCTATCTTTTAATATCAACTTAATTTAATTTTTATTATTATTACCAAATTAAAAGATTCTATATATAATTTGAGAAACAAAAGGGGAATGTGTGACATGTACTAAAACAGCAACAACAAAAAAATTATGACAATTTAAATTAGATGACTTTAAGAGAATGGTATTGAAAGAAATAATTTCTTTTATCTATTGAAATTTAATTATGAAACAAATAAGACATGATAAATTAGAATACATATATATATATATATATATATATATATATATATATATATATAGGTTATGTATACCTGAGAAGCAAGAATAACAGCATCCTTCTGAAGAAAAAGAGTGAAATGGCTTGTGAGATTAAAGGGTCCTGTTAGCCATTTCCCTGGTGGCACAATAAGTGTTGCACCTCCATCAGAAGCATATTGGCTGAGTTTGCTTATTGCAGATTGAAAAACCTTTGTGTTTGATGTTTTCCCATCACCAACTCCTCCAAAATCTTTCAAACTTGCACTGTGCTTTCTGCAATTGATGGCAGGATATTCAATCTGGCCCAATTCACTGTGAACCCTACTTTCTGCTACCTTCACATTCACTGATCCCAATATCAGAATTAAAGAGATCACACCAAGGACCTACACATATATCACCAAACTCATCAGATCAGTTCAACTTAAAGCATCTGTACATCTGAAAAATATATATACCAACAACACTAACCAAAAGTTTGCTATAAAAGTTATCAGAATCCAAATGGAAGTGTATAAATGCATCCGAGAAACTCTATTAGATGAATGTTCATGACAGAATGTGTTAAGAAAATCTAGAGATAAGAGAAAACAATTACATGATTATTTCTGAGATGCAGAAACTGCTTCATGGTATGAGAAATACCAGAGTGAAGTTTTAGTTGTGGAGTTTTCCTTGAACAAAAGATAGAGCATAGGCAAATATATATATAGGGGTTATCGATACCAAAGCACTGATGATAATGTTTAATTGTTTTAAAATTTTCATTTATTATATTAACTATTTTGTATTTTTCTTTCTTTGACTCAATTTTATACAATGTTTATTTTGAACGAGGAATAAATTATGGCAGTTATAATTACCAATAAATAACAAATTAATTGACATATTGATTGAGTGCTTTTTAGCATTAATAGAGTTTTATAAATAACTCAAGTATAAGAAGAAAAACGGACATAGAAAATGAACTGAAAATAAACATTTTTAAATATAAATAGTCAAATCTAAAAAAAATAAAAGAAAGACAAATTAATTAATACGACTTACACTGACCGAATATTTTTAATATTAATAGAGTAATATATTAAATTTAAGAGGGAAAACTTTTAAAAAGAAAATTGAAATTAAATATTTTTAAATGTCAATAGTAAAAAAAAGGTTTAAGTTCAAAAGAAAATTTTAATATAAAAAATAAGTTTATTTATATCAACAATTGGTCATATAACATCTCAATTTTATAACTTTAGACATGTAAAATAAGAAATTATAAGATTGATAAACAAAAATACAATTTAAAAAAAAATAACCGTAATAATAAAATATATCGAAAACAATTCAAAAAATTGACTAGACTACCAAGAAAAATATCTCACAGATCAAATTTCTATATCACATATGCTTCAACAACTACTCTTCTTCTCCCCACATCAATAAGGTGATTATCATAAAAGAAAGAAACACACAATCAAAACAACACAAAAAAAGCATTATCAAAATTCATGAAAACATCGACGAACTATTACAAACGAAAATAAATATGTCAGTAAATATAAATTACCGATTTTACAAATTTATCGACGGTTGCATTATCAACGAAAAATTCATTGATAAATCTATCGATAATGTGTATTTCACTTATTGACAGAAAAATATGAAATATGCATTACCGATAAACAAAGTTTGTTGATAAATTAGACAAAAAAAATGCAAAAATTTCCTGCCTACTTTTTCTCTCTTTTCGAGAGCCACAATATTTCTTTCTCTTTTTCACGTGAGGCCTTCATTTTCTTTTCTCTCTCTCGCGTGAGGCAGCCCCATCTTCTCACACTTCTCCCATCTCAACAAGAGCTCTCGGAGCACCACTTGGAGCATTATTGCACGCCACAATATCCTTTTTCAAGCGCATATAACCACCACATGTGACAAAGGGAGAATGTCTTTGTTGCGAAACCCACAAGGAGTTATTTAGGAATGATGAAGGAGCAGCACAAATATTGAATTGACCACATGTGTTTCAAAACTTACAAGAAAGAACAAAATCCCATAGTTGGAATTTCTTGATTAGCATGGTCGTGGCCTGGTGTGCTGTTCGAGATGAAGAAAAGATCGTTGTTCAAAAAATAGATTGGAAATTTTTCCAATTTTAGGGTTTCTAAAACAATTAAGGCACCAAGATTGAGTTTTTTATTTTGGTTTTGGTTTTGGAAAGAAGATGCATTTTTGTTTTGCTTTAAGAATGAAGGAGGACATTGATAAAAAAAATGAAAATCTGAGAAAGAAGACGAATGGGAGAGAGGAAGAAGGTGAGTCAGATCGTGATTTTTACCAATGAATTTCTGAACGGATTTTTCATGGTCATGAGCTTGTAATTGTTGTTTGAGCTGGACAACAGTGTTGTCAGAACTGTTGGATGCAGATGGTTGGTCTTTCAATATACCTCTTCTAGTAGTGTATGTTAAAGACAAAATCGTCTATGTGCCTAAACGCTCTCATGTTTTAAAGTTTAATCAAATAACATTAAAACGAGATAATAATCAGAAAATAACTTAGGGTGAAAACACAAGACTTAGCCTAAATCTCAAACACACAAAACCTAGAACCAGAATCCCCAACATAGAAAAACTTTGGAAAACATCTAGGTTCTTAGGAAATAGAAAAACATCTAGGTCAAAACACCTAGACACATGGTTAAACGTTATTGTGCCTGAAGCGTCTAAGAGAGTTGAAGTCAAATGTTTGATGCTCATAATACCTGAAAAAGATATTTAGTGTAGGTCTCGAAAACAGAACAGGTCGAGACAATGTCTCTGACAAAACATATTAAAAGACACAAAATCAAAACATAAAAGAAAGCTTAAACAAGTTAAATGTTATCTGTCTAAAAGGAGACAAAACCAAAAGAAGCGTTTACTTGACTAGTGATACCATAAGCTTAACTAGTACCTCGTCNAACATTATTTTCTATTATTTCTACTGTATGTAATACATAGATTCAAATAGATTTGTCAAGGCTGTTTTATAAGGAACATGTCTTGAATTGAACAGCTTCAATGGGTAGTTTGTCATTTGGAAAAGCACAATCAGTTTTATCTTTCTGTGGCAGCAATGCACAAGGTGGAGGAGTGACATTATTGGTAACTCCAGCAACATCAGTGCAATTCCATTGAAGCTTCTTCTTCTTCAGTGCACTCACTTCGATAGTCACATTAGAAATGCAGATTCCAGTAAAAGGGTCGTTGGAGATTCCTTCAAGTTTTGCAGAATATGTAACATTCTTGGCAACAACATCTTTGAAATTTATTCCGGTAATGGTAGGAAGTGCTTTGGGGTCATAGTGAGAGTCAGGGTGTTGTCCATAAGAACCAGTCATCCAAAATACATATTTCATGGTATTCAGATTCAATCCTCTCACAAATATGTTCTTCACAAATCCACCTCTACCAACTGCTGTTTTGATTCTAACAGCTGATTCTGTGTTGATGGCAGTGAGATCTTCAACTCTAACATCTTCAATTCCACCAGACATTTCACTGCCTAGTGCAACCATGGCACTGTCTGGGGATATACAAGTCACTCTTCTTATCACTAAGTGTTGGGTTGGCCTTCCAAATTTAATACCATACTCATCCCACCCGCTTTTTGCCGAAATGCAATCATCACCAGAAACAATGTAGCAGTCTTCAATCCTAGTGTTTGTGCACGAATCTGTGGAGAACACAAAACTTAACAACATTTCATAGTGCTTGTTACCTAATCAAAGTTTTGCAACATGAATGCCCTTATTTTCACTTCATATACAACATACGAAACTGACACATTCCTTAGATGTTGTGTTTCTGTGTCTTTGTCATAGTATAGAACAGAAAAGAAACAATTATATATACCTGGGTTTATGCCATCTGTGTTAGGAGAATCCACTGGGGCAAGAATGGTAAGCCCTTTTACGATTATGTTACTGAAGATGTAAAGCTTGATCAGAATAGTGATGCAGACTATACATGAAGGAAAAAGAATGAGCAGTTTTAAGAATTTTGGTGAGAAAAAATGAGAATCTTATCAAACCTGCTGTAAATTGGATGGACAAACCAAGTTGGGGAATTGACCAAAGTGAGATCTGATATTTGGATTTGATCAGAGTACATGATCTCAATCATGTAGGGCCTTGTGAGAGTCAACTGATTCTTGTG